AGAGTGTGAGATAAAGCAAGAGTCCACGTTCCAAGTTAGCTGTTCTTTCACCTTCTCCAAGACCCCTAAAAGTGTATCGCAAAAGAAAGGTTTGCTTTGTATTCTTTCTTTCCAAGTAATTGCCTAGTTGATAATATCCTAAAATAACCAAATTGGGATAAAATTAGAATGTCAAAATATTCTCCAAATAGAACTTTATTTCGCTGACATTTTCTTCCATATATAGACAAAAGTAGGCTTACCAACTTTTTGAACAGAACTTCTACCTTATTGACAGCATGCTTGGAATTTGAAGCATATGGATTCTTCTTTATTTTTTATTTTTTTTTTAAATATATTTTATTGATTTTTTTACAGAGAGGAAGGGAGAGAGATAGAGAGTTAGAAACATCGATGAGAGAGAAACATCGATTCAGCTGCCTCCTGCACATCTCCTACTGGGGATATGCCCGCAACCAAGGTACATGCCCTTGACCGGAATCGAACCCGGGACCCTTCAGTCCGCAGGCTGACGCTCTATCCCCTGAGCCAAACCGGTTTCGGCATGGATTCTTCTTTAATTGGAAAGACTATTTGCACTCCAGGCTCTAGCTCTTTCTTTAATTGATTGCTATGCCACACTCAAAGCTCTGAGGAGGGGCTCATGATTTAGGGCACTTATGAGGATGTCCACTTGTTCCCACAGGTATGGAATTTCTAAGTGTGTAGCAAGTAACATCAGCAGCCCTAAGAGATGGGTGTCAGTTGCTTGTCCCTCTCTTTGATGACATGTGTTCCAGTGTTACCCCTTTGGCATTGATGGAAGGTGACTGCAAGAAACAGTCACATGAAGATTGTCCTTATATTTTCTTTTAAGATAGGGGGTTGTTAAAAACACCTTCATCTCTGTTGTTCTATACTCTTTGAAAAAGAATAAACATGCTTTAGAATTAGTACCAGGAAAATGCATTTACATTCAAAGAACTGATATCTATATTTTAAAAATCACTATTCATAACCGTCATTTTCTTTTCTGTGTTGGCTTCCACAGAGCTCAGAAAGAAATGGAAAATATGGCTCAATCTTACTACATAGTCTTAAATTTGGGGTATATTTGCTTTTTTTAAAAAATATTTTTATTGATTTCAGAGAGGAAGGGAGAGGGAGAGATAGAAACATCACTAATGAGAGAGAATCATTGATCAGCTGCCTCCTGCATGACCCCTACTGGGGATCGAGCCCGAAACCCCGGCATGTGCCCCTGACCTGGTCTCGAACCATGACATCCTGGCTCATAGGTCAACGCTCAATTTTGCTTTTCCATTAAAAAATAGCAATGATATTTTCTATAAGTCTTTTACTGTAAACCATTTCAGATCCTGTTTTGGAAGTAGTGAGGGTAAATTATGAATATTAAAACATTTCCTTTGTTTTGACTCATTGAGTGCTATGCTTCTTTGTTACATTTTTAAAGAATTGAGTTTTTAAAAATATATTTTTATTGATTTCAGAGGGGAAGGGTGAGGGAGAGATAGAAGCATCAATGATGAGAGAGAGCAATTGATCTGCTGCCTCCTGCATGCCCCACACTGGGGATCAAGCTCGCAATCTGGGCATGTGCCCTGACCAGGAATCAAACCGTGACCTCCTGGTTCATAGGTTTAACTTCAACTACTGAGCCACACCGGCTGGGCTATGCTTCTTTGTTATTAATAAAAAGTTTCTACTATGTACCACCACACTCCAGAGTTCTAAGGAAACCAAGAAGTACAAAATGACTACAGACCTTAAGGGTCTTGAATCTAGTTGTGTGGCTAGAGCACTGTAGAGATAAGTAATATCAGGTAGCATATTCTTAAGGGATTTGCGTTCTATCCTAGGACTCTATAAGTTTAATTATTAACTTAGTAATATGGACATTTGCTCAAAGCATATTCTGTTTTGATTCAGATTAAATATTGATATTTTGTCTAACATTTTTCTGAGGGTGGTTAAAGTTCTTGGGTAACTTTGTTTCTGAATAAGTTTTCATAAAAGCAATTTATATTCCTGGTAGAAATTTAGAAAATCAGGAAGGTATAAAGGAGCAAATTAAAGTCTCCATAATCATACCTGGTGTTCATATTGCATAATATTACACAATATAAATTACATTTGATATCCTGCTTTTTCTACTTTGCATTATATTGTAAGAATTCTTAGATACTAGATATTCTTTGGTCATAAGATTTTTATTTTGCAACATTTCATTGAATGATGGTTGAAGACAATCACTCAATGATTGTTGCAAAATAATCATTGTTGAATCCTATTGTTGAAGATTTAGATTATATCCAACCTAACCATCCCCATCTATACTAATAATAGGGTAATATGCTAATTAGAATGGATGTCTTACAGACAACCATCTGGACGTCCCTCCTGACAAAGCCAGGCCTGGGCAAAGCCGCCCGCCTGTGGCCCCGGGGTGCCAGTGGCTGCAGCTGTGGCCTGGGAGAGGGAGAAGCCACCCGCCCCACGGTCCTGGGTGCCAGCTGCTGTGCCCCGGGCAAAGCCGCCCGCCCAGAGTCCCCTGCGGCTGCTGCTGACCCGGGTCCGGGGCCTGCGGCTTGGCCAGAGGGAGGGAAGCCCGGGTCCTGGGTGTGGAGCTGAGGCAGAGGCGTTTAGGGGCGATCAGGCCAGCAGGGGAGCAGTTAGGGGTGATCACACCAGCAGGGGAGCAGTTAGCGGCGATCAGGCAGGCAGGCAGAGGTGGTTAGGGGCAATCAGGCAGGCAGGTAGAGGTGGTTAGGGGCGATCAGGCAGGCAAGCAAGTGAGCAGTTAGGAGCCAGCAGTTCCAGATCGAGAGATAGGGATCGGGCCTAAACCAGCAGTCGGACATCCCCTGTGGGGTCCCGGATTGGAGAGGGTCCAGGCTGGGCTAAGGAACCTCCCCCCGCCCCTTAACTAGGGCCTCTAGTTAAATGTAATACTGTGGCCCTAGCTGGTTTGGCTCAGTGGATAGAGCGCCAGCCTGCAGACTGACGGGTCCCAGGCTGGGACCCTTCTGGTCAAGGGCATATGCCTAGGTTGTGAACTCGATCCTCAGAAGGGGGTGTGCAGGAGGCAGCCAATCAATGATTCCCTGTCATCACTGATATTTCTATCTCTCTCTCCCTTTCTATCTGAAATCAATAAAAAAAAAATAAAAAATATAATACTGTCATCTACATTTGTAATGGTAGTGAGCACAGCATTTATGAAGCACTGACAGTACTAGTGTATGCCAAGCACTGTGCTCTGAGTCCTTGACATGAATTATTTAGTCTCATATAATTCCTTGAAGTAAGAACTATCACCCCTCCTTAAAGATGATGAAACCAAGAATTAGCAGTTGAAGTGCCCACAGCAAGGAAGAGGATTTAATCCCTAATCTGACATAATATTTCAACTTGTTTTTTATGAATATGTAAATAGGACTGTTCAAGATTCCAGTTGCCTATTAAAATGTGAAATAATTGGTTCCAAATTAAGAAATTTGTAAAGTTTTTCTCCACCCCCTTTGTCCTCCTTTATATTCTTTTCAAGGAAGAGAGCATCTAATAAATATTTAATGGGATGTTTGTGATTTTTTTCTTTAGTAATTAGTCTACAGTGATAAAATAATATGGGCTATGTACCCTTAGAGCCCTTATTTTTGGGTTCTACAGAAAATAGTAGGAACACTGGTCCCAGAAGTTAGCCTCTCATCTTTTACTAGAGAACAATAAAACCACTGTAATGAAGAGAAATAAAAATAAGAGGCGATAAAAATTCTGAATTTTATGGTACTTGGACACATACAATGCTATATAATAAAATGCTAATATGCAAATTGTCCCCTCGGGAGTTCAACTGCTCGCTATGACATGTGCTGACCACCAGGGGGCGGCATGGAATGAAGGAAGGCTCCCGCTGGCAGCTGGTAGCTGGGGGAAGGAAGGCCCCATTTGGCCCTGATCGGGACCAGGCCTAGGGAACCTACCTGGACACGAATTTTGTGCACCAGGCCTCTAGTGTTCATATAATTTCAAGTATCTGAGGAAATGGAACTGAATGAAAGTATTTAGCAAGCTGAGGCCCTGCCTCACTCCCACTGTTTTAATGAGTAGATAAGGATGATTTGCAACCAATACATCATCTGATGGCATGTAAAATAAGGGCTTCTGAAGTGCTTAACGAAGGTGGAAATGGTTTCATTTCTTAAGTAGTTCAAACTATCCACTGTGGCTCACTACATCCTTTTGAAACAGTGTCAAACCAGGTCTGAACTTTCAGAGTCTCAGTTGGAGAATTCAGAATTCAATGAAACTTTAAAGTGCCCGACGAGTCTAAAAATACACTACCAAACCTGGTCCAATCCTGAGGGATTAAATTGTGAACATCCTGGAACTAAAATCTAATGACTTGGGCACCCACCCCGTGGGCCATTGAAGAGGGAAGAATTGAAAGTTTAGTTAAAGCAAGTTTCTTCCAGGTAAGCCCTAGGTGTTACAGACGAAGAATTAAAAGCCCGAGAAGCGAAAGAATAAAGGAGGAGCCAAACGTGCTTTCCTGACCGAAAACTTCTATGGGGAAGGAACCTTTGCTTTTTCTAGACAAGAGGCCTTCAGCTGGCCCCCAGCCCTCCACCCCGCACTGCGGGCCTGTCCCGCGCCGCTGCCATCAGGACGTCTTCTTGGCGTCCTCCAGCCCCAGGCCCCACCTGGAGTCTCAGCGGCACGAGCGCCACTCGCCTTCTACCAGCAGCAACAGCAGCAGCAGCAGCAGGAGGAGGAAGAGCAACAGGATCAGCAACATTGCGCGCCTTTGGAGGGTGGAGGGGATGGGGGGATGGGGGGGGGGGGCGGAGGAAAGCAGGAGGGCTGCGGGGCGGATGTGAAGGGGAGGGCCAGTGGGGGCTGGGCGGTGGCACGGGCGTTGCCTCGGTTGCCCGGGGCGCGCGTCCCTAGCAGCCGCCGCCCACGTCAAGGTTTGTTTAATAATCGCCCGGGGATTTAAGGCCTGGGCTCGCGGCGGGCCGCGGGGGAGCCAGGAGACCGCGCCGGGCAGCGGATGAGGCGCGGAGGCTGTGGCCCAGGGCACCTCCCCCCGGCTTCCCCAAACCCTGCCCGGTCAGACCCGAGGGGGAGGATGGAAACATCGGCCGAACTCTGAGCCCCTCAGGAAGATAACACCCTTCCCGCCCAGTCGCCCTGCGGTCCAGCGGAGGCCACCGACCCTTTCCCTCCAAGTCTCCATCTCCCCGAGCCGGACCGAGCGGAAAAACCAGCGATGGCGGACACCCTGAGGAAACTGGTCTCCAACGATTTTTTACGAACCATGTACGAGAACCTGGAGCGCTGGCAGAGGGATTACAACGTGAGTCGGCGTGGGAGAGCCTGGGCTGGCTTTCCCTCCTTACACAGCCCTCTGCGGGGTGTTTTTAGGCCTGGCATCGGGGTGCCGCTTTGCAAAGCCGCCGGGATTGTGATTGCGGGAAAGGAAGGACCGGCACGTGTCTGCTGGCGGCGCCGTTTTCTTCCCGCGACGCGAGGCGGCGCTGGAGATGCGCTCCGACCCGAGTGGAGCTGTAGAGAGCGCAGCCGCTTTAGTGGTAACCAAGGACGCTGGCGGCCCTAGCAACGGCCCTAGCAACGGGAAAGGCCTGCGATCTGCCAGGGGTCTGCCGGTCAAGCCCTTCACGCTCCCTCCAGTCGCTTCCGCCAGCAATCCACCTCCCTATCGTCATTCATCTCGAATGTTTTTTGTTTGTTTGTTTGTTTGTTTGTTTGTGGGTTTTTTTTGTTTGTTTTTTACTACACTCCAACCCCTGCTTCTCAGCAAGTCTCTCACTAGGAAGATACCAGCGGTTGCATCAGAATAGATTTTTAAAAGAACACACCCAGTATTTATTATCCGGAAGTGAGTGAAAGGGTCACTTCTCAACATTGTGGGTTTCACTGGTGTGCTGGTCCGCATGGCCCATAGGCGCAGCTTCAACACCAAGGCCTGTTGCCAGGGCATCTGTAAGAGGCCAATATTCTGTCATCGGACCCAGAGCGCTCTTATAGTCTCTAACCTCCTCCCCACGCGGAGAAGATAGAACTCCAGTGCTAAATTTACTTTATATTTGGTCTGTCCGTCTTAAATAAGACAGTTCCACTCTTTTTTTTTTTAAATCTTTATTGTTCAGATTATTACATTTGTTCCTCTTTTTTCCCCCCATAACTCCCCTCCTTCCAGCTCCCACCCCACCCTCCACCCTCACTCCCCACCCACTGAGTTCATCCATAGGTGCATGATTTTTGTCCAGTCACTTCCCGCATCTCCCACACCCCTTTTCCCCCAAGAATAGTCAGTCCATTCCCTTTCTATGTCCCTGATTCATTATAGTCACCAGTTCATTCTGTACATCAGGTTATTTATTCACTTGATTCTTAGATTCATTTGTTGATAGATGCATATTTGTTGTTCATAATTTGTATCTTTACCTTTTTCTTCTTCTTCCTCTTCTTAAAGGATACCTTTCAGCATTTCATATAATACTGGTTTGGCGGTGATGAACTCCTTTAGTTTTTCCTTATCTGTGAAGCTCTTTATCTGACCTTCAATTCTGAATGATAGCTTTGCTGGATAAAGTAATCTTGGTTGTAGGTTCTTGGTATTCAGCACTTTGAATATTTCTTGCCATTCCCTTCTGGCCTGCAAAGTTTCTGTTGAGAAATCAGCTGACAGTCGTATGGGTATTCCCTTGTAGGTAATTGAGCCTCTTTCTCTTGCTGCTTTTAAGATTTTCTCTTTGTCTTTTGCTCTTGGCATTTTAATGATGATGTGTCTTGGTGTGGTCCTCTTTGGATTCCTTTTGTTTGGGGTTCTCTGCGCTTCTTGGACCTGTAAGTCCATTTCTTTCTCCAGGTGGGGGAAGTTTTCTGCCATTATTTCTTGAAATAGGTTTTCAATATCTTGCTGTCTCTCATCTTCTGGCACTCCAATGACTCTGATATTAGTCCGCTTAAAGCTGTCCCAGAGGCTCCTTACACTATCTTCACACTTTCGGATTCTTTTTTCATTTTGCTTTTCCAATTGGGTGTTTTTTGTCGAATCTTTGGTTTGATTCTTGTGCTCCTCTGGTCTGCTATTGGGTATAATATTCTTTATTTCAGTCCGTGTATGCTTACTTTCTAATTTCTTTATCGTAGCATCGAGGGTCTCATTAGTTTTCGTGAGGCTCTGCACAAATTTATGGCAAGCCCTCAAAATTGCGATTCTTAGCTCCATATCCTCCATTTCTGTCATGTTTTTTTGTCTCCGCATCTTTTATGCTTTCTTGGTGCACCCCCTTGTGGTCTCTGTGCGCAGTCTTGTTCTAGCCAAGCCTTAATTGTTGTAGTTAACACTAGAGGGATTTGACCACCAGGCCGACTGGCTGTGGAAATCAGCTGTGGGAAAACTTCAGTCCTCTGGGGAGGCGCAAAGTCCAGCCCTTGCCTGAGGCGATCGGCAAATGGCTGTGCGCAGGGTTTGGGCGGGGCGGGCTCAACAGGGCGGGGGGAGGGAGCAGCTATGGCCACTCTCAGTCCGTCCCCAGGGGCTCTGCCTCTCTGTCCCAGCAATCGCTGCAAACCTCGGAGGGGCCGTAGCCAGACAGTCCCGCTTCTCCCGTTTGAGTCTGGGTCCCTAGAGACTCGCCCGGATCTGTAGCCCAGAGTCTGAGACTCGCTCCTGATTGAAAACGACAATCGCGCCCTCAGCCGCCAGCCCGCTTTGCGCGCGCACCCTCACCACTGCACCGCCGTACCTTTAAATTTTCCACACTGCGCCTCCGCTGAGCGTCGGAATGCTGTTGTTTTTGCTTCTAGTTGAAGAGACTCTCCTCAGCCAGCCTTCCTGTGGTTCTGGTTGATGTCCGCTCCGACTTTTAGTTGTATTTTTGAAGTGGTTGTCCACGGCGGCAGTCTCCGGTGTTTACCTATGCCGCCATCTTCCTCTTCCAGTTCCACTCTTAATAGCAAGTAGAACTAACTGCGAGGCAGACAGAGCTGGGGACCCGGAATCAACACCCCTAGGTTCTGGGTCTGGTTCTGCTTGGTACTGGCTGAATGAACCTGGCTGTTTATTTAACCTCGCTGGGTCCCAGTGAAAGGGGAGAGACTGGACTAGATCACACATAAAGTTCCTTTCAGATCTCAGTTTGTTGAGTCTACATCCCCTTGTTTCTAAAATCCCACAGGAAAAATGCAACTGGCTGCCGTCCTGCGTCCCTTAGACTTTCCCACTCACCCTTTAACCAGAGCTCCCAGGGTGGGTGGGTAATCCAAGAACAACTACAGCTTTCTCCTGGGCCTTCCTTCCTAGTGTTAGTGTTTATCCCCTTTGTTCTCTTTTAAAGAACCCACACTGACGATTCCTTCTCCAAGATTGCAGGAAATTAAGGTTTACCCCTTTATCACAAAGGCCTTAGGTCTGCTCCCCGCCTCCCCCCTTTAAAAGTGCCTACTTGCTGCAAAGTCTCAGAATAATTGTTAGGCCCTATGACTGGACATCTCCATCCGAAGGTCCTGCAGACCCCCTAACCTGTCCCCCAAACAGCATCATTCCTGTACCTCTCACTTGTTTCCAAACCTCCCAACTTCCTCCTCCGGTAATGCCAGCATCAGTGGGACCTTAGTAGATCCAGATGTGATATGGGGCTCAGAAGGGCCTTTAGTGGACCCTTGGCATCTCCACCGCCCTCAACATCTATCAGCCAGATGTTAAAACTGCCTCCTGCCCTGCCAGGCAGACTCTCTAATCCAAACTCTATAGAGTCTGCTTCTGCCAGATTGATTTTTGTAAAACGCAAAGCAAATCTGACCATGTCATACTCACGCTCCTTCACTCGCCCTGTTAAATCTTTCAGGGATGGGGTGAAGTCCAGAGGCCATGTGACGAATAAAGCCTTTGCTATTTGGTCCCTGGACCCTGTATTCCACTTTCCCCTATAATGTACCTTGTTTCTTGCCCTGTTACCTGCTGTTTCTCCCCTTGAAATGCCCTAACCTCTTACCCCTCACCCATCACTAGTGTGAATTTTGCCCCTTCAGCAGCTCACTATCCACCCAGAACCCTTAATCAACTGTAAGGTAATGATCTAACCCAGATGTGTTTCCATTCTCCCTCCTGCTTCTCCAGCTGGTTAGCTCATTGACAGCAGGCAACACTTCTAAATTTTTATTTATTTTTAATATGGTGTTGTGTCCTGAGCTGCCAGCCCAAGTCCTTACATACAATAGAAACTCAATGATTTATGAATGAAGGAATTTTGAGAGTCTGTGCTTTGGAATTAGGAGATAGTATAATTAGTTCATACCTGTATTTTATTTACCTGTGTGAGTACATGTTTGGTAATGTGACCCTATTGAAACTTGAGTATCTTGGGCAATGCTTTGTGTTAGAAGTTACAGCGTGTTGTGACATGTCTTGGGAACAGGAACTGACAGTATATTCTCTTCTGTTATTTAAGTTGTGCAGACAAACATTTGGCAAACATTCCTTTGAGCACGTACTTATACCAGGCATTGGGCAAGGCAAAGGAGCATCTATAATAATAAAAGTGTATATGCTAATTAGACCGGACGTCCTTCCAGACGATCTTCCGGACGAAGCCGGAGCTGTGAGGGAAGCCCAGGTCCCGGGTGTCTGCTGGCGGCTGGAGGGAAGCCCGTGCCAGCAGCTGGGGGAAGGAAGGCTTACTCTTGCATGAATTTTGTGCATTGGGCCTCTAGTATAGTAACAATACCCTAATAATACTTTTAATTATTGTGTATCTCCTCTATTCTGCACCTAAGTTAGCTCATGAGATCAACCACCTCCTAAATACAAGCAATGGCGGCTCATATTTGAAATTTATTTTCTAGGGGAATGTGACTAATAAGTGGAGAACCAGATTTGAACCAATGTCTGCCTTATTCCTAAATCCACTGCTCCTTTCAATACCGAATGCCACTTTAAGGCACCAATTGTTGAACACTTCTGTCTCTGAGATGCTGCATATGCATTATTTTGATTTAATTCTCTTAACATTCTGCAAGGCATTATCTATTCTTATTTCTGGAGAGGAGATGGGCTCAGAGAGGCAACCTGTGCTGCATCACATAGAACTTGTGACAAGTGGCAAAGCTGAGACACTACTTCAGGTTGGCATGACCCCTGGTACGTGGCATGGTCTAGCCAGGGGGCAGAAGGCTGAAAGGGGAATTGAAGGTCAGTGTTACAAGTGCAGGGAGCTAAACAGCAAGGGCAGGGAGCTGCTGGTTCAATAAGGAAGGAATGGAGATAGCTGTGTAAGCTGTGTGCTCCAAATGTTCTAATCAAATTCAGTATTGGGCTAAGTCACTCATTCATTTATTCACTCATCCATCAAATATTGTTGGGCCCTTCGATTTGCTATGGATACGAGTGGCAATTGATACAAACACGAGACATGCAAAACCATTTAAAAAAAAAAACACATAGTCTTCTTAGGAGAAAGGGAGAGAGGATAAGACAGAGAAACAAATGGCTAAAACAGAAATAAATGCTACAACAGAGCTCGTCACCAGGTGTTATTTACCCAGCATGGAAAAGAAGCCAGCAGCTCCCCTAGTAATGATGCGTCCATTCTATCCAAACTCCTTGGAAGGCCCGCCGACCTCTCTGACCTCCTGCGGTCACCTTGATAACCTACTTTTGGTTCTCAAGGTCACCAAACTCTTTTTGTTATATGGCCTTTGCCCCTGCTGTTCCCACAACCAGAAAAACTCCTTCTCTAGCCTCTGCATTCAGGACTTAGCTCAGGGTCTCCTCATCAGAGAGGCCTTCCCTAACCACCCTTCTCATTCCCTCTTTGCCACATCATCTAGTCCTCCCTCTACTCCCAGCAATAATCACCATCTAAAAGTCAGTATCCAGGGGGCGGTGAGAGCATGAGTGGGGATGGGGGTTGGGGGGCAATGGGGGAATAAGGACACATATGTTATACCTTAATCAACAAAGAAAAAACATATAAAAACAATAAAAAAGAAAAAACATAATAAAATAAAAGTCAGTATCATTTAGTGGTTAAGAGCATGGGATCTGGAACTAGGCAGCCAAGGTTCTGACCTCAGTTCTGACATTTTATTAGCTAAGTAATCTTGGGCAAGTTATTTAACTTCTATGCATCTTGATTTTCTCATCTGAAGATGGGAATAATAACAATGGTACTTCTATCTCATAGCGTACTATTGTGGGGCTTAACTGAGCTTATATATACAAGCATGAATAATGCCTGGCACTTAGGAGGGATGTAATAAATCCAAAATGAGTGAATTGTCTATGTTCACTCATCCATCTAGTACTTACTGTGTTTGAATATATAGAGACTCTAGAATGCAGGGCTGGAAATACAACAGCGAATGATCAGGGCAGGCACAGCCTCTGTCCATAGGGCACTTCCCTGGTGATACCGATATGCATTTTTCTTGTCAACTTTTGGCTAGAAGTCATCTAAACTTTTCTTATCTATTCTAGTTTCTATCCTCCTTGTAAGGCACTTCCTGTCTCAGGATTTATAGTGCCCACTACTAGTGCCTTATAATGGCTTGAGATGACATATCAGTCTATGCATTTTTACTCCCACATGATTTGTTGGTTGCTTACAGTTATGTCCCTTCCTTTAGTATTAGACTCAATGAGAGGTTTAGCTAATGAGAAAGAGTAGCAGTTCACCAAGGAGATGACAAAAGCAGGATAATAGCGAAAAGACCTACCTCTTGGCTTCTTCATGTTCTGCTCTTACTGCTTAGATGTTCCACAGCCACTTGAACCAACCCTTTCCCCTAGTCCGCCTATTTCTTCTCACCTAGATTTCACTTCCTCTTGGAAAGAAGTCTTCTCTGACTTTCGAAGACAATGGGCTCTTGAGTAGACCTGTGTTCACCCCCATGGTAAGACTGACTATCCCACTGCAGGATAGCTGTCTATCTCTTGTCTCCCCCACTCGTCTGCAAGTGCCATATGGCCTAGCCCATCTTTTTTGTCTTATTCTCCATTATCCTCAACCCAGCAATACCTGCTTACTGTTAACAAGTAGTGTTCTTTATGTACATATGGAACTTACATAGAGGACAAGAACCAAGACAGCAGGTAAGTTAGGGAGCAATGATCTGTACTGTTATAAAAGGCTTATTCACTTTACGAAAGGACTTGTTGCAGGATTCTCTTGAGTAATGAGTCAGGGTTAATGATATTAAAATGACTCCCAAACCTCAGTGGTTTAAGACCCACAAGTACACTTTCTCAATTATGTAAGTCATTGTAAGTGTTCAATTAGCAGCTTCCCAAATCTTGTGGCTTTATCACCCGCTAAGCCTTTGGGGTCCTCTGCAATTGGCTGGCAGATGGGGCATGCAAAAAAGAAGAGAATCCCTCAAGAGGTTTTCTTCGGGGTCACACCCCAAAGTGGCACACATCTCCTTCCTTCCCATGGACCTGAACTCAGTTCCATGGCCCCACCTACAAGCTGGGGAAAGTGCTCTAGCTGTGTGCCCAGGAGGCAAGGTAACCGTGTTTTGGTGAATGCACAGCAGTGTTTGCCTCTGGGAGCATAGCTGAGCCAGGCAGCCCTGGTATAAAGTGAGGCCCTTGTCTACCTGCCATGGGGGTGAAGAATTACACTGATGTCTACTGTTTTGGCTTTGCAGACCAACTCATGTGATCAGAATCTAAGTTTTTGCCTGGAATTCATTGAACAAGTTGCCAAGATGCAGGGACAACTCTTTGGAATCCTTACTACAACAGCTCAAGAAGGTGAGAATGGCCTGTACTTTCCCATCCGGCCCCCACCCCTTTTCTGTGTGCGCTCTGACTGAGTTGGCGTGCTTGGGTTTCTCTCGCTGACCTGATTTGTGGATTCTTCTAGGAGGACGGTATGACGGTGTGGAAGTAATCAAATCACGCCTTTTGCCTTGGCTGGAGACCGCCTTTACTGCTGCTTCCTTGGGAAAACCTATTGACAGCAAGGTCCCCTCTCTGCAGGTAAGGATGCTAAAGGATTCCCCTTGATTTTCAGCACCATGGTCAGGCTCTGTGAACTCAAACATTCACACGATATGGTTTTGACCTAGAGAGGGACTCAACTCTACTTGGGGAGTTGGGACACAGGCATAAAAGGTGAGTTCCTGTTTACAGTACTTTGGGGCACATTGGATTGAATTTTCTCTTAAGACAAACCTGGATTCAAGTCTCAGCTTAGCCTACTCACTAGTGGTACGACCAGGCAAATCAATGAGCCTCAGCCTCCTCAACTACAAAAAGGGCCTGGGGAGGATCTACATCTGAGACATTGCTTGGCCCACACGAGGCATTAAATAGTAACTTTTAAATGACAAATTAGTCCTCCAGACAGGGTACCAAGGGGTTCAGGAGAGAAAGAGATGATCAGATGGGGAAAGCTCAGTATTCAGAAAGAGTGAAATACAATTAATTGGAAAATTCCAAGATAAGAAGAAAGCTCAGTTCTGGTAGACTCACAGAGGGTCTCATATTTCGTGGTTGATCTTGGTGGTTTCCAAGGACAGTGTCAGTGTCTTAACAGGGGAAGATCAGACTGGAGACAGAACGTATACCTTGCTTAAGGCATTGGCATTCCTATATTGGGGTGAGCAAAACATTAGTGACCTTGATTTTAAATGCTTACATGGATCTCCACAAAATTCTTTCCAAAATTAAAGCATGTCGAGCAGGCTGTTCTAAGCATCAGGGCCTTATGAGATAGTGGCTGAAGGATTCTTCTTTGGAGGTCACTGGACAGAATTCTTGTCCCTCTTCTATAGTCCGGGGGAGGTTGTCTAACCTTTATTTTTTAGTGTCCACATTTGCTCAATGGGGACAATGCTTTTGCTGGCCTAATAGAGTCATTGTGAGAATTAAACGCGATAAGCATGAGAAGCAACAGATAAGTGGTAAGTACAATAGTCATCAGTTGTCTTAAAGCAATTCTCCCCCCCCCTAGGGATTTTCATATACTTTTGAAATTTTTACCCCCTATGCATGTTATTCTGGGTATAGACATATAGGATGATATTTAAATGTCTGTTTTTAAAATCGAGGTATAACTTACCTACAGTGGCATCCATAGGTTGATGAATTGCGACAAATGCACATGTCCAGGTAACTCGCACTCCTATCAAGATCTAAAACATTTCCATCACTTCCCAAGCATGCCCCTCTGCCCCCAGGGCAACCACTCCTCTGACTTTTATCGTTCCAGGTTAACTTTGTCTGCCAGTGAACGGAACATACATTATACGCTCATTTGTGCTTGACTTCCTTTGTTCAGCACAATACTTGTGCAACCTGTCTCTGCTATTTCATGTACTCAGACTATTTTTTGACGTGTGTATCTTTCTAGGACACGTTTGAAAGGGAGAGACAGAAAGAGGCTCGAGATCGGGAGATGAAACAATTAGAAGTGGAGCTGAGCTCAACTCATAATCAAATCAACCAGATTCAAGACGAGTAAGAGGAATGCAAGTTATCTTTTCCCCAAAAGAGTTGCTTGTTCTTCATTTAATTTTTAAGTGTGAAAGGAGACTCATGTAAAATGTAGGCATTTGCTAATAAGTAATAAGTAATATGGTGTGTGTGTGTGTGTGTGTGTGTGTGTGTGTGTATGTGTGTGTTGGGAGTCAGTGTCTTTGAGTTTGGGGCCAGGATTTCCATATGATCCCTAAGGCCCTGGTCCCTTTGGCTCCATTCCTGGAGCCCCCTCTTTTCCATAGGCCTGTTGTCAGCCCATATGTATAAAGAGAGGAAGATTGTTATATGAAAATCTATTTTCAGGGAGGGAAATGAGAAAAGATGCAGAGGGAAAGGGTAAAGGAGGGTAAATAGAAAAATTAAGAGAAAGAGCAAAGGCAAGATGAAAGCAGGCTGCATGTATTTGTTGTACTTACTCGGTGGGTGGGACTGAGAGATCAGACTTTTTAAATGATGAATAATTCAAGATTATGGAATAACTATTTGATATCAAAAAGTATTTTAAAAAGTTAAGCAGTGTCAGGCAGCATATCAGATGCCTGGTACGTACAAAACCAGGGTAGCAAGCTCAAGGAATCACTGCAAAGAAAATTGCAAACTTTGGGTCATACTTGAGGAAGATAGACATATGTGTATGAAACTGCACTCAACACACCTAACACGAGCCCATCAAGCAATAAGGTATTTCTCCTCCCACAGCATCGTTCCATTGCTGACATGTATGGGGCAGCAGGGGATTCTGTTTCTAACTAGTTCAGGCTTGTAATGGAACAGGGTATGGTACTCTGCCTTGTTCTCTGATGAGCTTTCCTCATGGAAAACATCTCTGCTGACTTAGACAACTGCCTGATTAGAAAATACAAGTTTCTTTCTCAAAATGCATACAATAAATAAGAGTATAAAGATGAAAATCAAAAGAAAAAAAGATGAAAATCAGCTGTTATCTCATCCCTGTTAATATTTTGGTATATTTTTTCTTTGTGTGTGCTTGCATGCATCTCCACACCCCACCTCCCCCCATCCATTTTTCTAATTGGAGCCATCATCAATGAACAGTTTTATAGCTGCAACGAAGTTTACAACTGTAAGGTACAAAAAGGATAATTCCTCTGAATTTCTACAACTCATTTCAACTAATGTCAGCTGATCTGGACTGGGGCGAGGAGGATTCTTAAATGTGCCACTTCTTTTCTGGTTTATTGTAGTTCTTTTCGTGTAAATATTCAGTTAATTCCAAGTTTAGACTTTCCTTAGGCGCTGTGTTTGCTCTCTCAAGGGGTCTAATTGCCCTCCTGCTTCCTTAGACTGACATCTAGGGGTGAGGGATGCTTGCATGCCCTCCTGGGGCCGGAGGAGAGGGGCTTTGGTCGTGTTCTGCCTGCTGGGTTCTTGCCTCAGTTCCTCCTGGACACTGATGTCTTGTGCCGCTAGAGGCTGAGCTGTGGCTTGTCTGGTTAGGTCACCTGGGCCATTTACTGGCCTCTGCTGCTGATGACCAGGTCTCTCCATTTGCCTATGGTCGCTTGGGAGCTTGCTGATTCTCTCTTTTATCAGTAGCAATAGGAGTCAGGTTCCCACCTCTCTCTTGTCACTATGGCTCAGTAGTTAGCTATAAGGGGCACCACGGACTGAGAAAAAAGGACTGTATGCATTTTTAAAACTTTTTATTTGGAAGTAATTTCAAATACAGAAAATTTGAAAGAATAGCACTAGGAACACCCATATACCCTTTCACATACCTTTTCCCCTATTTGGTTGATCATGTGTGTGTTTCTCTTTATCTATGTACACGGCCCGTATCCCCCACCGTCCATTTGAAAGTTGCACACTGGAAGGTGCTTGTTGCTTTTCTCTGAACTTCCTAGTTTTGTTTTTGTTATGGATGCAGATGTGGCTCATATTCTATTTTTATTGAAGGCATTACACATGATGGAGGCTGTTCCCCACCTTCTGTGGTAGTCAGCTCTCTCCTCCTTCTCTTACTCTGCCTACCTCTGTCTCGAAAGCCAGGGTGTTACCTGTGGTGGAATGAGTGACCCACCCAAGGAGGTTCCCATGTCTGTCCTCAAGGAGACCAGTTTGGTTGTGATTCAGTTCCAAAGGTGCAGATTCCAATAGAGTGCTGAGTGCGGACAGGTCTGCCCAGGCTTGATGAACCCTAGACGCGGAAAGACTGCAATATACTAATTGATTTTCTGCCTGGACTCTGGTTAGGAGTCTTGCTTTTCTGCATTTCCTATACCCAGTCTATTAGGATAGAGTTGGATCTGCCTCCTAAGCATCCCACACACTTGTCCCTTTCTTTCTATTGCACTGCCATTGCCCTGGTTCAAGCTTCTGATACCTCTTGCCTCAACTCATTGCCTTCCAACTGGTTTCCCTGTTCCCATTCTTGCTCTATTACAAACCATTTCTCACATAGAACATATAGATGTGTTTTTACTTTATTAAGTCATCACTCTTCTTACACGCTGTGAGCAGCCTTCCCAGGGCCCTGCACGATCTGACCCCACCTCTCGCTTCACCCTCATCTCATGTCAGACTCCCCTCACCTAGTCTACTGTCCATTTCTTCTTCACTGTGAGGCCTCTGCCTGTGCTCCTTCAGAACAATGGCAGTCTTCCACGGGCCCTTTGCAAGGCTGCCTCTTGAGTATCTTCAGGCCTCAATTTAATGTGACTTTCTCAAAGTCTGCTCGTGACCACTATACAGCAAAGGGTCTTTCTTCTTCCCCTCCTTAAGTTCCCTTTCACGATGACCTAACAATAGCACTTGCCACAATTTGGAACATTTAAACACTTGTTTGCATATTTGTGATCTGATGAACTTCATATTTGTGTTGATGTTTTGACACTTTTGTATCTTTAGCAGCCAGCATTGTGCCTGGCACATAGTAAATTCTCAGTAATTTGATCAATGAATGAATAAGTCCATAATAAAAAATTTAAAAAGCTGTTCATCAGCTTAAAACAATTCTTGGCACACGAATGTTCCTCTTTTCTCTCTGTATGTCAGCCAAGGGTACCAAATTAACATGTATGTTTGCTTATATGTATATGTACTCACACATATATGCCATGTTTTGAGAGGGAAGAAAACCTACTTTATTCCTGTTCATACTCTTTCATTTCTTAGTCTATCTTGTCCTTTTAATTTTCTACAGTTTTCTCTTAATAAAATGTTTATTTTCCTCATATATACTTTTAAAAAACTATAACATATTCACATTTGAATTAGATCACAACAATTTCCTTTCAACCTCTAGTAGGCCTGGAGTCATTGCAACTATGGCTTTGTTTTAGACTTTAGACATTTTGTTCATTAATTTTCAGGGTTTTTTTTGTGTGTGTGTGTGTTTAAAATATCTACATTGTGACAGGCACTGTTTTAGGTGCTCGGGATAAAGATATGAATAAAATAAAATCTTTGCCCTCAAGTAGTTCACAGTGTGTTTGTAATGAGGTTGTAAGTGTGAGCGGGGTGTGAAAGGAGCCCCAGAGAAGGGGAGACAAACTTTTCTTGAGAGAGTTAAGGGTGGTAGAGAGCAGCACTTGAAGGATGAGGACAACGGTGAGTTTAGATACCATTCGCTCTCTCCTAGCCGCAGGACTACTGTGGTGAAAGCGACGTTCCAGGGAGGAAGGGTCAGCTAAGTCAAGAAACCTTTGCCAACCCATGTCTCTCACTGCACTGGGGCAACTTAATTGAGGACCATTGGTCTTCATCCATTGCCATCCAGTACATTCCCATTTCCTTTTAAATTTAGACAGACGTAAAGAAATAGTATAATTTACTATGACATCTACAATGGAGGGAGTCATTAAAACTAACAGTGACTGAGCTATGCAGGAAACTCGTGCTTAGTAAGTGATGGAAGTCAGAGGCAGGCAGACATGAAATAGTTGGTAGTCAAGTATAATTGTGGAGGGCTTTATAGGTGGGCAAATATTTTTTTTTATATTTAGGAAGTCGAGAAATTAAGTCAAATTCAGCTTTATAGTGCAAAGTAATCAGAATAGGTATTAGTATATTACAGAAAAATGAAGATTGTATAGAGTAAGACAATGTAGGAACTTGGTATAATTAGAGCAGTGGTCGGCAAACTGCGGCTTGCGAGCCACATGCGGCTCTTTGGCCCCATGAGTGTGGCTCTTCCACAAAATACCGACTTCTGCGCATGGGCCACGAAGTTTCAATCGCACTGTGCGTGCGTGCCCGCACGTGGCATTTTGTGGAAGAGCCACACTCAAGGGGCCAAAGAGCCACATGTGCCTCGCGAGCCGCAGTTTGCCGACCACTGAATTAGAGCAAATGAATTAGGAGGGTGAGAAGGAGGAATTGAACAAGTATTTTTGTCCTTTACATTTTAATATGAATAATTATTACATAGTCTTTTAGGGGGTAGTAGATTTATAATTTCTTTGGGTTTGACATTGAAGAAGGATGTTAGAATGCTTTTGCATATAATTGCATTATAATATTTATAATATCATCTGATTGAATGCAGATGTCTTATAATTTGATCTTGTTTATGTCAAATTTATATCATATGCCAAAAGTTCCCAAGAGAGAAGGAACCTATGCCTTGATTTAGAAAGTCTGCCAATTTTGAAAAATCTGTCTTTAGTTACTGATTTCTCTTACAGTCTGCCTGACTCTCCAAAGACTCTTGAAGCAACCAAGAACAGATCATCTATATCCCTTTTGGCTGCAGAGGAGGAAATAAATCAGCTAAAAAAGCAGTAAGGAAAAAAATAAAAAAGACAGGAGTATTGCAGCTGCTGATTAATCTTTGCATTTCGCTTTTTTGGTGTTCCATTACAATACGAAAGAATCTGTTCACAATCAAAGAGGAAAGGGAACAATATATTAGTGTTTTATATATTTTTTCAAAAACATTACCTATCTACTGGAGAGAATTTCCAAAGCACAGTGTAGTATAAAGGAAACTAAAGACCCTCTCATAATTCCAGAACCAGTTACTGTTACCATCTGACATTTCTTCCAATTCATACATTAGAAATAGAGTTAAGGCTACAAAATAAGTGTAAGTTTATAACTTTGGGCCCCAATTGTTCAGTTAACATTGTTTTTCCCTTTTACTAAACAAACAAACAAACAAACCTTCTGCAGAACTTACTTCTGAATAGGTGCATCATGTTCCATCATTTGGGTGTTTCTTTAATATCAACTATTTACTTTGATACCAATTTTCAGCATTGGAAATAACGTTGTGGTGATTTCTGTAGCAAATCTTAGTTAAAATTTTTGGGTATTCTCTAAAGATAAATTTCTAGAAGGGGAAAACAAACACTGATCATTTAAGGTTATATACCTTCCTTGATTTTCATTTTGATTTTCCCTCCATCCCAAAGAGCAAGTAAACATTGTACTGTATTAAAAATATATATTATATATATTATATAATATATATATATTTTTAATACATGAATTTATATATATATATATATATATATATATATATATATGAATACTGTTCTGTTGCTTCACACACGTTCCAATTGTTCTGATTTCTTCAGGAATACCCCTAAATTTTAGCTTGGAGTACTCTTCTATTTCCCACTTAAATCTCCCCTTTCATCACTTTAATCTCTTATTCCTATTTGATATGCCTTCTCAAATGCATTGATCAGATCATTCAGTGACTCTGTTCTTTACTGCTTCTAGCACAGCTTTGAATTCTGCTGTTGCATTTTTAGCTTCTCTACATCCTTCTCAATCTTACCCCTTACACTTCCGTCTCACACCATTGTCATTTTCATCACAGCATGTCCTCTTCGTGTGGCTTTTGCTCCCGTTTTACGATGGCCATGCCTCTTTGTCTCTTTATGAGGATGCCAATATTATTTCTGAAACTCCGTTTGTTTCTGTAATACATTATTTTCGTAGGTCCACACTTCTACCTAGTCTTGTAGATGTTGTTCAATTTCCGTTGTAGTTTCTCCCCATAGTTCATAATATTTTCGCCCAGCTTCTGGACTAGGTTTTGGAGGTCAAATGCTTCTAGAATTTTGTGCGGTTCATATCAGCCCAATCTAGAACAATATGACTATAGGGCCCACTCTGCTTTTGCTGGAGGGTCTGCATAGCTTTCTTCGGAAGTATTTTCCAATGCAAGCTGCAGAGGTGGAGTGGCCCCCTGACCCACAATCTACTCTTTGCCAATCTGTGTGTGCTCCTATGTATTTCCTTTAGAGTTGTCCAATGCAATCATGGCACACGACGTAGAGTAGCCTCTGTTTTAAGTATGCTAACTGTTGCTTATTACCTTTCCTCCCTCCCTCTCTTCTTTCTTGACTTAAAAAATAATTTTCTTTCTCTGTTCAGGCTTAAATCTCTTCAATCCCAGGAGGATTCCCGCCTCAGAGGCTCAGCGCTTAGAGCGACTGTGCAAAAGAGCTCAGAGCGAGGTGTGGAGCCCAGAGGTGTGGAGTCCAGAGGCCCGGAGAAGAGGACCTCGGAGTTGAGGCGGTCAGAGCATCGCAGCTCAGAAAAGCGCAGCGGCTTGGACAAGCGCATCTCTGGCTTGGACAAGCGTGACCGTGACCGTGACCGTGACCGTGACCGGTGTGACCCCGAAGTGATATCCGATTATGAGAAGCAGGTCCGCTCGCTGAAGGACGAGATCGCTGCTCTGACGGCCGAAAAGTCTGCCCTCCAAGAAAGGTCCGCCACATTCTCACACAGCTTCCCTCTTACGTGCCTTGTGCTAGTGAAACAACACAGTAACTATTACTGTGGTTGGGAAACCAAGCAAAGTGACTCCCTTGAACCCAGAACCCAACAATACGGGAAGCTTTGAATGGTAAATTGTCTTCCCTATCTGACCCTTCAGAGAGAGAAACTACCTCCTGGATGGCCAAATCCAGGCACTCATGGGTGTGGGGCTGATGCGGAAGCGTAAGGCATGAGGCTGAGCAATGTGAGAAACGGAAGTTCTTCGGGTGGAAACCAGAGCTGAGCGGGCCCGTAAGGCAAGAGGTGGTACCCACACTGCAAGAATGTTCCAGGATACGAGGGGCCGTTCTCTTAAGGCCCGAGAGTGCTCCCCGGGGAGGACCAGCTGTCGTTTTACTGCAGGGTGGTTCCCTTTGATGAAGGTGTAGGTGCCTGCTCCTGTGGAATCCCTTTCTACCAATGGACAGACACTAAGGCAGGCCGTTCAAACAGTGTTGAGTGAGGACAAAGCAGGGTGTTTCTCTCTGTAGTCGTTGCAATGTTCCTTGTGCTGGCTACCCCCCTCCCCTTCCCAGCCTGATAACATGCCCCGATTCAGGTTACTAAAGTCGCCCCCATGCCCGATCCCCATGTCCCTAAATGTCACCGTAGTCTTTCATGGTGGGGAAATCACTCCTTCAGTGTTGAGCTGCTGCTGGCTCATGTTGGCTCCTAAGAATATACTCTGTGCATTTCTGCCTCACTCTGAGTTTAGTGACATCACACACCTTGCCCTATAGTTTCTTCTACAAAACCTCCTTTTGGGGGGGTCCATTGCCTTTGGGCTAGCTAGTCTGGTAATTTCTATTGTACTTGGTGGCCATAAACGTTTTACTGATATGGTGCTTTCCAATTCGCCAAGTACTTCCACGTGTATTGGCTCACCTGCTCTTCCCACCCGCCTCCTCCACCCCAGCCCGCCACAGTAGGCGGAAGCTCTGCAGGGGAGAAAGGATTTCAGTCGCTCCTGCTGCTGTGACGCGGTGGGGCCGGAACTACAGCACAGATCCTTCTCATTGCTCAGTGTGCATCTCATTTTATACCATAAACTCGCCAAGGCCGGGGCACGAAGCAAAGACAACTGGCTTCTCCTTTACCTCTGGCTTCCTGGCTGTGTGACTCCAGGGCCCCCACTAACTTTCCTGAGCTTCCAGTTCCTCATCTGTAACGTGACCAACCATCAATGCTGGGCTCACGGGCTGCAGCAGGCTAAACAGGTGCTCAGAAGCGAGCGTGCTTTACCGAGCGGCCTGCGCCCTGCAAACGCGTCTTGTTTCCTGGCTGTGGTCCCATTGAGGCCGCGTGGAGACGGTGCCCGGGTCAGGCGCAGTGGGAAGGCCCCGGGGGCAGCGGCTCTCGGGCCTGCAGGGGCCCGCGGCTCCTGAGCATCCTTTGCAGTTGCTGTGGGGAGAAGCAGAATCCAGGAGGGACAGAAACGTGAATCCGAGTGTGTCCCCGCTGATTCTTGCTTCCCAACAGGTCCGCCCGGAGCCAGTCTCCCAGCCCGGTCGCTCGCAGCTGCAGCCCGGTCGCTCGCAGCCGCAGCCCAGGCGCCCGCAGCCCCAGCCGCAGCCGCAGCCCCAGTCGCAGCCGCAGTCACAGTCGCAGAGGCAGCCGCAGCGAAAGCCGCAGCCGCAGTCACAGCCGCAGCCGCAGTCGCAGAGGCAGCCGCAGCCGCAGCCCCAGCCGCAGCCGGTCGGGCAGCCCCTCCAACGCGATGGTGAAGATCAGGACGCCGTCCCCGAACCGCGCCAAGGTGTCCAGTGCGGCGCGCAAGGCCGCGCTCCTGTCCCGGTTCAGCGACGCCTACTCCCAGGCCCGCCTGGACGCGCAGTGCCTGCTGCGGCAGTGCATCGACAACGCCGAGACCGTGCAGCGCATCATCTACATCGCCACCGTGTGGGTGCGGGGGACCCCTGGGGCCGCGCGGGACAGCGGTTCGGTAAACTGAACAGCAGAGTTGAAAAGGACTTAGGTCCTGAGGTCCCCGCAAGAGGGTGGGATTTCCATGCGTTCCCGCCTCCCTTTTCTCCCTCCCTCTCTCCTTCTTTTCCTTCCTTCCTTCCTTCCTTCCTTCCTTCCTTCCTTCCTTCCTTCCTTCCTTCCTTCCTTCCTTCCTTCATTCCTCCCTACCTCCCTCCCTCCCTCCCTCCCTCCCTCTTCCCTTCCCTACCCTTCCCTTCCCTTCCCTTCCCTTCCCTTCCCTTCCCTTCCCTTCCCTTCCCTCCTTCCTCCCTCCCTCCCTCCTTCCTTCCTTCCTTCTTTCCTTCCTTCCCTGCTTCCATTGCAAGTATTTGGGATGAATCATTTTTTCACAACCAGTAACTATTCATATGAATTAATATATTGCTATTGACCAGACATCTGTTGAAGGATTTATAATTATAGGATAACCTGGAATGGTTATATACCTTAGTCGATGTGCATGGAATCTTCAAAATGGGCATGGATATACCAGTGTGTATATGATTGCTAATGGCTATCATTTGATTGACTTCCTTCTGTTCTTAGAAAGATCAGAAGAGTAGTTACCCACACTGGGAACATAGCTAGTTGAATATGGCGGATTACAAAGTGCTCAGCTGTAATCCTTAATTCCCAAAGCAATTAAGCGTTGTTCCTTTGGTACCATATTGAGATACTGAGTTCAACATGAGAACAATTAAATATTAAATAAAACAGGACATTGGTATGAGAGCAGAATGATCAGAATCTACTGACCTTTATCCTGTATTTATGAATTTATGTCACGAGTCAGCTAACTAGGACCTGTGGGCCATATCTGAACGTGACCTAAAGTTTTAAGAAAAATACCACCCAAGAGCTAAGACTATAAGAATAGTTTTACATTTTTAAAGGGTTGTTAAAAAAAAATGCGACAGACACAGTATGTGACCAGCAAAGCCTAAAATACGTATCTGGCTCTTTCCAGAAACAAGTTTGCCAGTGACTGGTTTGAGAATCTCTTACGGAGTTGGTTAAAGTTCTGTGAGCATAGAGGCCATGTCTTGCATGTATAACTAGGTTTTCTCAGTGCTGACTACATAACAGGCATTTAATAAATGTTTGTTGAATTAATATATGTCAAGAAACATGCCCAACACCTGCTCTGTGTCTATGTATAGTAAACACTCAATTGATAATTTTTCTCTTATTTCTTGACAAGTAATATGGTGTTACTGTGGGAGCATAGATAGCATCAGCTAGCATCTTCCAAGTATTTATGTAACCACAGGTGATTGACTTCCTTGAACTTCTGTACTGTCCTGCACTCCGTGTTACCAAAAACAATGGTCCGCTGTCTTAAAATGAGTGAACGTGAATGGTCTTGTTTGTATTTATGTCCTTTTCAAAACTGAGAGATATATTTTCTCCCAGATTAAAAATAGTTTTGACCATTTGTGTTTAGCTGTCAGAAAACCCATATGATGTTTAATTTTTGATGAATTTCTTCATTCCTTGCTTTGAACTTCTTTGCTCCTCTCGTCTCACCAAATAAATTTGCTGCAATTTTTCTGTGCAGGAGGCATTCCATGTAGCTAAAATGGCGTTCAGACATTTCAAGATCCGCGTAAGGAAATCTTTGACACCGTCTTATATGGGGGCGAATGATTTTGAGGATGCCGTCACGGATTATATAATTTGTCACCTTGATCTATACGATTCCCAAAACAGTGTCAACGTAAGTGTTGGGTCTCTTCTTGGGGCTAGTTTGCTGCTAATGATATTTACACGGAATTCCGATAACTCAGGAACCCATTCAGTGCTTCTTTAGGTAATGGAAAAGCAGAAACGAGCAGCATGCAAGTTACTTTGTAGAACCAGCCAATAATGGCTTTCTTTCTTTCTTAGACATTGTACGAAGGAAATATTTTGAGCTTGCTAGTTCTAGTCTTTAAATCAGTGATTTCCAACCAGTGTGCCGCGACACACTGGTTGCTGCACGGGTTTTTAAAACATGAAATACCTGACTAGTTAGGGGCACTGACCTCTTTTCCCTTAGCTGGTCAAGTAAAAAAGATGACAACAGTCAACACAATAGCTGTCCACTGTGAATGAATCAAAATTATACCTATATATTTTTTAAAATATATTTTATTGATTTTTTGCAGAGAGGAAGGGAGAGGGATAGAGAGTCAGAAACATCGATGAGAGAGAAACATCGATCAGCTGCCTCCTGCACACCCCCCATGGGGATGTACCCGCAACCAAGGCACATGCCCCTGACCAGAATTGAACCCGGGACCCTTGAGTCCGCAGGCCGACGCTCTATCCACTGAGCCAAACCGGTCAGGGCATACCTATATATTTTTTTGTCAGATTGGCACAAAATAAATTTTTTTGGTGTGCTGCAGAATTTTAGTAATTTGTGTGTCATGAGGTGAAAAAAGATGAAAATTACTTCTTTAGTTGGGCCCTTAAAATCGGAAGATAGAACATCATTGTTCCTAAGATTTTGGGAAAGATAGGTGTGGATTTGCATCTGGCTCTGCCACTTACTAGCTGTGTGACCTTGCACATTTACTTAACCTCTCTGTTCTTTAGTTTTCTAATCTTTAAATGGGAACAGCAATAGTCACGACCCCATCGAGTTCTTGAGGGGCTTAAATGAAATAAAGCAGGTCATTTGCTTAGCACAAGACCTGGCATATAGTGAACTCTCAATAAACGCAAGCTATTATAATTGTTATTACTATAGATTATGAACAAGTCAGAGTTCTGTGTGGGCATTATCATACAACTTGCCCAGAATTTTAAAAAAGGGGAAAGAATAAATAAAAGCTACTAAGGGGTTTTTCTTTAGTTTTTTTGAGACTCTCCTGGCTGTTAATATGTCATTCGTATTCTGCCATCTTCCCCCCATCCGATTTGTAAGGCCTCCTCCTTTTAGCACATGCACTCCTCTCCTTTTTAACTTGCTTTCACTCACACTTTCTTTCCCCACCTCCATCGGTCATAATGTCCTTGGGGTTGTCAGAGTTTCTGGCCACAGGATGGTAACAAGGGGATGCCATCTTTTTGTTTTTCAGGACGTGATTCGAGCCATGAATGTCAACCCCAAGATTTCATTCCCTCCGGAAGTTGATTTTTGCCTCCTCAGTAACTTCATCCAGGAGATATGTTGCATTGCCTTTGCGATGCAGACTTTAGAGCCACCCCTAGATATTGCATTTGGGGCCGATGGAGAAATGTTTAATGATTGCAAGTAAGAGACATAGGAGCAGAAGCTAAGGAATAGAAATAAGTGATCTCGTCTCTATTTTCTGGGAACAATTTAGGGAAAAGAACGCTGGGTGGGGAAATCACCAGATACTACCTGATTTCCAGGCCCAGCCATATACTTCTCTGTTACTACCGGACAGGGCCCTCTCCTGGGGTCACTTTCCTTCTCAGTCAAGTGGGCTTCAGAGGGGACGATATGATTTTCATTGATCATATTGGTCTTGGGGAGAATTAATAAGTACCTGGAGCCTGTCTGGAACATTTTAAAAGAAAGGTAATATATAAATACAAGCATGTATTACTTTTTATTGTTTAAAACATTTTATTGAGGTATAATTAACATATAACTCTATATTAATTTCAGGTGTACAACATAATGATGTGATTTTTATGTATTGCAACATCTGTCACCATACATGGTTACACAGTTTTTTTCTTGGGCTGGAAACGTTTAAGATTTGCTCTTTTGGCAACTTTCAAATATGCAATACAGTATTATTAACTATAGTCACCACGGTGTACATTACATCTCTTGACTTATTTATTTTATACCTGAAAGTTTGTATCTTTTGACCCCCTTAACTCATTTTGCCCACCCCCCATGCCTCTGGCAACAACCAACCTGTTTTTTGGTTTTATATAAGGAATATAAGTGAGATCATATGGTTTTGTCTTTCTCTGTCTGTCTTATATCTCTTAGCATAATGCCCTTAAGGTCCATTCATGTTGTTGCTAATGGCAAGCTTTCATTCTTTTTATGGCTGAATAATATTCCACTGTATATATGTATCACATCTTCTTTATTCATCCATCAGTGGACACTTATGTTGTTTCCATTTCTTTGCTATTGTAAATAATGCTGCAGTATACATGGGGGTGCATATATCTTTTCAAATTTGTGTTTTTGTTTTCTTCAGATAATACCCAGAAGTGGAATTGCTGGATTTTATGGTAGTTCTATTTTGAATTTTTTTGAGGAACCTCCATACTATTTTCCATAGTGGCTGAACCAATTTATGTCCCTCCCACCACACACATTGCACAAGAGTTCCCTTTTCTCCACATCCTCACCAACACTTATTTCTTGTCTTTTTGATAATAGCCATCCTAACAGGTGTGAGGTGATCGCTCCTTGTGGTTTTGATTTACATTTCACTGATGATTAATGACGTTGAGCACCTTTTCATGTACCTGTTGGCCATCTGTATATCTTCTTTGGAAAAATGTTCATTCAGATTATTGGCCCATTTTTAAAAATCAGATTGTTGTTTTCTTCTATTGGTTTTTATTGCATTATTTAGACCAGGTTTCTCAAAATATGGTGCATAGATCACCTGCATTGGAATTGCTCAAGATATTTGTTAAAAATGTAGATTCCTGGATCGCATGCTATGATATTTTATGCAGTAGGTCTGGAGTGGGGCTTGGGAATCTGTAATTTAGCAGGCACCCAAGTATTCTCTATGCACACTAACCTTTGACAATGATGCTCTTGACTCTTTTATCTAGGACCATTAGGTTTCTACCAGGTGTTTCATGGTAAATATTTCCTTGATAAATGAGAAGAAATTAAGTTAATTTGGAACATTTTACTGGGATTTTATGAGATCTTATGATACAGCTAGAGATGATCTGGGAGGAGACCAGATGTCAAGCTATCTGGGCTCCAGTCCCAGCTCCACCAGTAACTAGCGGTACAATCTGGGCATATCACCTAATTTTTCTGTTCCTTATTTCTTCTCTGTCAAATGGGGGAAATACCAATCCCTACTTCCTAGGGCTGTAGAAGGTTCATTGAAACCACTCAGAGAAAGTACTTACGGACACTGCCCAGCACATTGTGTACACACAGGAGACATTAGCTCTGGGTCTTCATTCAGGCTGCAGAGGGATGGGTTGGTGCAGCCCCTGACCCATTGAGACATAATTAACATACCTTTTGCTTATGAAAATCACAGCGGTGGTGTTTCTAAGTGCCTTACAGCCTGTCATATTTTCTTGCCATTGCCTTGTTTCTTTCAGATGACTGCTCCTGGTCTCCTCCACTCAAGGAAGAGCTGAATTACACTGCAGTTGGGTCTTTCTGATTTTCTTAGAGAACATATTTGTATCTCTCTTTAAAAAAATTCCTTCTTCTTTTAGAGAAAGCCTGTTCCCACTTAGAAATATTCATCCCCTTGCCCTGGCCAAGTGGCTCAGTTGGTTCAAGCATCTTCCCGTACACCAAAAGGTTGCGGGTTTGATTCCCAGGTTGGGAACAGGTATGGGACTCAACTGATAGATGTTTCTCTCACCTCGATATTTCTCTCTCTTTCTCCCTTCCTTTATCTAAACACTAGGGGCCTGGTGCACGAAATTCGTGCACTTGGGTGGGGGGGTTGTCCCTCAGCCCCGCCTGCCCCCTCTCACATACTGGGAGCCCTCAGGGGATGTCCTACTGACGGCTTAGGCCCGCTCCCTGCTCCCCTTGGGGAGCAGGCCTAAGCCGTAGTCTGGCCTCCCTTTGTGGGAGGCGACCAGGCTGATCAGGGGAAGGCACCAGCCTCATCACCCCACTGCTGCAGCCACTGCCAGTCACCGCAGCCACCAAGGTGTTTTCATCAACATGGACTCCAGTCCCTTCACCATGAAAAAATGACAACTTTCTTTAGGCATTTTCATGATGTGTCTTTCATAAGATATGACATTTCTTTATTATTTTTTTTTTATCCTCACCTGAGAATATATTTCCATTGATTTTTAGAGAATGTGGAAGAGAAAGGGAAAGACAGAAAGAAAATCAAAGTGAGAAGAACACTTTGATTGGTTGCCTCCTGCATGAGCACTGACCTGGGCCCCAGCCAGGGAAGAGCCTGCAACCTAGGTACATGCTCTTGGTCAGAATTGAACCCAGACCCTGTGGTAGGCAGGCCGAGGCATTATCTACTGAGCCAAACTGGCTAGGGCAGGATATGGTATTTCTTAGCCCCTCCTGCAGCAGACCTTCGTTTTTTTCTCCAGGAGTGAGGTGGAAAAACCCTACATCACTTTCTTGGATTCTTATTACCCAAGTTACTAAGAATATTACCAGTGGCATACAGGGAGCTTAGCCAATGAGCAGTCAGAAAAGGTGTTTCCTCTGTAGTTCACACCAATCCCTGGCTCGGCCCCTGCCTAGGCCTAAGGCCTTAGGCCGGGCGTTAGGCCTGGGCAGGGGACCCCCAGCCCCATGCGATTGCTGGCTCCGCTTCTTCCCAGGCCTCAGGTCTCTGGCCGGGGCATTAGGCCTGGGCAGGGGACCCCCAGCCCCAGGTGATTGCCAGATCCACTCCTACCCAGGCCTCAGACCTCTGGCTGGGGCGTTAGGCCTGGGCAGGGTCCCCTAGCCCTGTGCGGTCGCCGGCTCCACCCCTGCCCAGGCCTCAGGCTTCTGGCCAGGGCGATCGCCAGCTCCGCCTCATCGGGTGGCATCTGGCGCTGCCCACCCTGCCTCCCCGGTCCCCGATCTCCGGCCCAGATCCCGCGGGCGGCGTCTGGTGCTGCCTGCCCCACCTGCAGTATGCAAATTTAACAGCCATCTTTGTTGAGTTAATTTGCATACTCTTCTGATTGGCTGGTGGGCATAGCGAAGGTACGGTCAATTAGCATCTTTGTCTTTTATTAGTGTAGATATCCTCTGTGGGGATTAAAAAAGAAAGAAAAGAAAGAAAGAAATATCCATTTTGGTTTCTGAGGTCCGCACATTTCCTAAACCTCTGGCGGGCCTCCTGCTTGCATGCCTTCATCAGTGGGAGCAGGCAGAGTCTTGGAGCATCCTGTGGACTGTCCTCCTGGTTGGCTGTGGAGCGGAAACTGGAGTTCCTAGGAATGATTGGATTTGGTTCTCCCTCTAGGACTTCACAGCACAAGCATAATTCTTTAAAAAAAAAAATTTTTTTTTTTTTTTAAACTCTGGCAGCCTTTCACACATTGAAAAGCAATTACTCAAATTCTCCTCCTTCTGGCCTCATGCCTTCAGGTTTTTTCCATATGTAGGGGCTGGGGGCTGAGACTTCTTGACAAATATATCTGTTTCCTTGGCTTGTGCTCCACGCTCTGCTGAGCATCCCTTGTTAACTGAGTGTCCACACTGAATGCAATTCCCTGGTTTGACTGGCCAGTCTGGAGGGACCGACACTCTTTCCATTCTTATTCTCTATTAATTCAGCTAATTTTTGAAGTTTTTTTCTCCGTCCCCTCGCCGCCCCCCCCCCCCCAGCCATATAACACAGTTCACTCATTTTGAGTTCAACTGAAATCTGTTACTATATTTTTACTTGAGCTATGTAAGCCATTCATTACCTCTAACTTTGTAGTTAATTTTTTTTAGATTTAATTGCAGAACCCCATAGGTATCCAAATTACATGCTGTCTTATTAGATTCAGCTTATTTTTCCCAGCCAATTGAGCAATTTCATAAAAAAACATTTTATTGATTTCAGAGAGGAAGGGAGAACAGAGAGAGAGAAAAACATCAATGATTAGAGAGAACCATTGATCAGTTGCTTCCTACACGCCCCACACTGGGGCTCAAGCCTACAATCTGGGCATGTGCCCTGATCAGGAATCAAACCATGACCTTTGGTTCATAGTTCAACACTCAACCACTGAACCAAACTGGCCAGGCAAGCTATTTTTTGATACTGTGATCTGTGGGTTTTTTTTTTTAACCCACTTTCCACCTTTGAATGATTTTTCATGCAAATCATTGATGACAATATTGGTTTATCATGGGATTGAGAGAGAGCCCTTTGCACCTTCACTCACATTCTCATGGATTTGTTAATTACCTCTCCTTGGATCTGATCTTTGAACCAGTTTCCAACCCACCTATTGAGTTCATGATCCACTTATATTTCTCCTGTTTTGTCCACAAAGGTAGCATGAGAAATCTTGTAGAAAGCCTATGGGACTTCACATGGTCTCTAGCATTTCCCTGAATTGCAACTCTTATAATCTGGAGAAGAGACGGGCATGATCAGCCTGACATGACTTGTTCTTAGTCAGTCCATGTGGATCCTCCTTATCACTGGTTCCTATTCTAAGGGCCTGCAACCATCTCTTTAATAACAGAATCAGGATCTGTGTTTATCTAGATCTAAGCATAATCAAAATGGAAATTTACACGGCTGTTTCCCCCTCCCAGTTGTGCTACCTAATTGCTTCACTTCTCTTTCTCCTTCTTTTGTGTGTTTCAAATAGGTACCGTCGCAGCTATGACTCGGATTTCACGGCACCCTTGGTCTTCTATCACGTGTGGCCTGCCCTCATGGAGAATGACATCGTTGTTATGAAGGGGGAAGCTGTCACCAAGAGAGGGGCTTTTGTACGGTGGCCTTGCGTTGTGACAATTCGTCCCAAGTGTTTGATTCACAAGTTCGAGAACATTTATACACCCAGACATTCTATAAAAGAAGCTCATAAAGAGTTGCTTGATAAGATTTCATACAAAGGAGAGGAAAGGGATTGGTGGGGAGAGAGCAGATTCTTTTCTTTGATTCGTCCACAATTCTTCATAATTTCTTGGCAGTAATTTCTTTGCCTATTGCTTTATTTATAAGATAGAACTAGTCCTACCTGCCTCCCCTATCTTAGAAATATTAAGCCATTACAAAGGCAAAACCTTTTAAGCTCACCTTATGGGAGGCTCTCTGTAATGCTAAGCATTTAAAAGGGATAAACTTTCAAGAAAGAGTTTGCCAAATTTTTACTGATGAGTCGCCATTTTGGGAAATGATGAATGTGCCATTTTTCTCTCCTTGGTATGATGTGTGGAGAGGGGAGGGATGGAGAAAAAGTGGGCAGAGGAGGTGGGAAGAGAGGGTCCAATCAGTTTTGGAAGTTTGCTTCCTGTGTACGGTGGCTATAGAATGTTTTGAGCATGTTAAATAATTGGACAGCCTTCAAAATAGAGTCTTGGTGTGACTTGGTATTGGAACTAGTGCCCACAAGTGCTGGACACGATGTGAACATGATGGAGTTTTGACCCTGCCCTTCCTAGAAAGAGTTAAGCAAAATTTGAAGGGAAGCTCCTCAGTCCAGATCAAAGCCACCATCCGGGTGACTTCTGTTCTGCACTCTTTGAGCTGGAGAACAGGGGATGTGCTTCATGGCAGCTTTCACCCACAGACGGGAGAAGGGAAGTCGTGCATTGTAACAGAACTCAAGACAAGGGTTTTCGCAGCGGAAGCAGCCCACTTCAGCTAACTGTATCTCAATAAAACACTTTGTGCAATGAAAGTTGAGCCCATAGAAGTTGGGTTGTGTTGTGCTGACAACCGCATGTGCTGTGCAGTGAAGGAGCTCATAAACCATGCTTTTTGCCCCTATGATAATCACCCCCTGTTAAAAGATTCTTATTGTAGACTGTCTGCAGTCCAATTTAGAAGGGAAGGAGAAGAAATAGCCACTATTAGCACTTGCCTTTTAGTTTCCTTTGCTCTCATCAAGCATGGCACCAACATTTGCCCAAGCTTAAACTCCTCATACAAAGTGAGAATACCCTAAAACAGTGGTTCTCAACCTTCTGGCCCTTTAAATACAGTTCCTCATGTTGTGACCCAACCATAAAAGCATTTTCGTTGCTGCTTCATAACTGTAATGTTGCTACTGTTATGAATCGTCATGTAAATATCTGATATGCAGGATGGTCTTAGGTGACCCCTGTGAAAGGGTCGTTCGACCGCCAAAGGGGTCGTGACCCACAGGTTGAGAACCGCTGCCCTAAAAGGAAGAACTTGGAGAAGGAAAGGGTTGAATGAAGGGAAATTTTTAAGAAGGCTTTTTATTAGTGGATCTCACTATAGTGATATATACATATATATATATATATATATATATATATATATATATATATATATCTACTGATTAATTTAGTTGAAGAGTAGGTGGACAGCAATGGTGATTTACTTAGTCACTCAATTCATTTCACTCAACAATAGTTGCTCTGTAGTCATCTATAACACAGGTGCTGGGGTTCAGCAGTGAACAAAACAGACTCAGACCCCTCCCACAGGGAGCTTACATTCTCCAACACTTGCAAACTTAATGCACTTTGCAACTTATTCATCAAAACAGAATTCTACTAGCACCAAGAGTTTGAATATCCCAAAGTTCATTGTAATGGGATTTTATTTGAGAAATACCCTAAAGTTATTGTCAAATATTGGGCAGCTATAGTAAACGAAAGGAGTACGTATGCCTAATGCTGATGACAGTAATGGGCAAATGTAATCATATCAGCAAAACCTCTCTACCGGTGGGATATGCATATTGTCATAAGCCATGTGAGCATTTATGAACAATTGACTATATTTCTCTCTCTTTTTAGTGGAATTCTGTGAGACCGCTAAGCCGGAGTCGAAGCAGGAGTTTAAGTCCCATCTGCCCCCGTAGCCGTATTGGTATGAGCCTGGTAGGTATCTAATCATTTTACACAAAATCATCCTATGATTGACATTTTAAAATTCAACAGTAGCCTATCAAAGAGGTGATTATAAGTCTGTAGGTAGAAAGAGAACCTGTTGCAATAACCCCAAACTGATTTTTATGCTACTTTGGACTAAGGAATTGATCACCTAGAACAGCGGTTCTCAACCTGTGGGTCGCGACCCCTTTAGGGGTCGAATGACCCTTTCACCGGGGTTGCCTAAGACCATCGGAAAACACATATATAATTACATATTGTTTTTGTGATTAATCACTATGCTTTAATTATGTTCAATTTGTAACAATGAAAATACATCCTGCATATCAGATATTTACATTACGATTCATAACAGTAGCAAAATTACAGTTATGGAGTAGCAACAAAAATAATTTTATGGTTGGGGGTCACCACAACATGAAGAACTGTATTAAAGGGTAGCGGCATTAGGAAGGTTGAGAACCACTGACCTAGAAAGAAGTAGAGGTAGTTTTTTTGTTTGTTTGTTTTAAAGAAAATGGGCTATTAGATGTCAGTTATAGAGAATGGGACACCTTAGTCAACTGATCCCAGCACAGGTCCCTGCTCCCTCTGGAACTTACTCTGTGATTTGGAGAAATTGATCCAATGGTCTGGATTTCAGTACTGTATAGAGGGCACTGCAGGTATTAATTTCCCTCCCAATTTAAAAGTAGGAAAAATAAGATTAGTTTCCTTTTATATTAGTTCTTGAGAGAATGACTAATACTTCTGTCAAAGGGAAGAAGATAGCAATAACACCTCTGAAAATGAAAAAGGTTAGTATGATTCATCATAAATAAGTATGTTTATTTATTCAACAAATAATATTTAGTCAATGCCTTTTGAATACAGGGCTGGACCAAGATATGTGGACACCAGGCAGGCTAACAAGGTCCTGTCCCTTCAAATAAAAAAAATTAAAATGTTTGCTCCAACCTTGTTTTAGAGAGGGTGGTGGGAAAGGAGAACCACACCCACTTCTCTGAAGTTATCTCTAGCAATGCAGCTCTAGCCCCAAACTTCTAACCCCACCCTCCCCCACCCCCGCCCCCGGCAAAACAGAAACAAACCCCCTGCAGTGATAAGACCCACCTGAGTAGCAGAGTTTAGTGAGCATCTGTTGTTACTCCACCACTCCATTATGTTTGACATTATCTTTACCAAACATTCCTTCCTTCCGTATCGGATGGATGCTAGATTTCGGGATGGGGGAACGGGACACAACAGTAACTGAAACATGGTCTTTCCCATGGATGGGCTTCAATATTTTGTAAATAAAGTAATTGAATGGGGTATATGATTTGGTTCATAAAGAAGCAGGAAGTGCTAGAGTTATTAGGAGAGGTAAGATGCCTTCTGGGTTTGGTGGTGAGGAAGGGGTGCATGGGGGAGTTTATATTGGATTTGGCAGAATTTCAGTGAGCTGGGGAATTGGGGAGAAAAAATTCTGATGAAGGAAGTGGCCTGAGAATGGAAAAGGCATGATTCTGACACAGTTCTTTTGCTCTTGGAGATTTTAATATCACTTAATGGTCCTCATCCAGGAATAAGTTTTACAGTAAGTAAAAGCAAAAGGATAGCGCATTTAGTAAACTGATAAGTAAAAAGGAAATCTTGAGGGTTTTATCCGGGAAGATCGCAATTCTCCCCAGTCTAAGAGGAAATGGCATGTCAGAAGAGAGCAAATCAGATATCTATGTGCTGACATCCCTGGCAAATGTTCCCTCCGACACGCCCCAGGGATCATGGGCACCACCCTCTGTAATAAGCCCCTCTATGGTTCGATCTGCCTCCTCCCCCCATTGTGTGCACAGGCAGAACAAAGTAATTTAAACTTTAGGTGAGAATAAACTATATTCTCAAAGGCGAAACTGCTGCCAAAATTCTGTCCCTCTCCAGCACCCTCTCCTTATAGCCAGTCGGGTACACCTGCAAAATGAAATGCAAATGTTTTTGGTTGATCTGGTGCTGGCTTATTTGAGGTCTTGTGTGCAGAACAGCTTCCATCTTCGAGAGTGCCTCTCTGAAGGGTTTGAGAGCTCAGAGCAAGAGTGACGCTTGTAGGCGGTTATTTCTGAGCTGTAGCAGGTTTGCAGGCACAGGCGGTGGCTTTTGCTTAGTGAAAGCAAAGGTGAGATTTGAAAAATGAATGTGTTTTTTTTCTGGCTTGCCTAGTGACTGCCCTTAATAGGGCAGTGCTTGGGACACAGGGGCAATTCATAGGAAGGATCTGCCAGACAGTATCTGACCGTTGGCGCTTTAATTCGTTAATAAGAATGTTCTGGGAAGCTTTGAATTCATTTTGGCCACTGAGCATTCAATCTCAAAGTATTTAGCAACCATTTAAACAGCAACAACAAAAAGCAACAAAAAAACCCCGAAGACACTGGGCCCAGGTTTTAATTAATAGTATAATTTAAACTAAATCGAGTGCCCATTTATTTCAGGAAGTAAAATAGGAAACTCGGTGCCCAACCTGAGCAGGGAAATCACGTTCTGAAGTGTCTCAGAGCAACTAGCTAGCTGACGGTTCAGGGAAAAAAAAGTCAAAGGGAATCATTCATCGGGCTCCACCTACTGTGTAATCCACTTTCCACTTGTATATTTTCCAGATATCTCGAAGCCGGAGTCCTTCTCCAATAAGATGTGCACTGCCAAGTAAGTGGGCTGGTTTAGATGTTAGATAGAACAGTCTCCTGTTTTTTAATGCTCCTTTTAATACTCAGCCTTGTGCAGCAAAAGGAATGTTTTGCTTCACAGGGAACATCTTTTACCACCACCTGACACCTTGTATTTCTGGATGGGTGGCCTTTGAGCAGGTCCCATGTCGGGGGGACATAGACGGAGCCTCCAATTGAGATACTTGATGGACATAAACCTAGATCAGTGATGGTGAACCTATGACACGCGTGTCAGAGGTGACACGTGAACTCATTTTTTTGGTTGATTTTTCTTTGTTAAATGGCATTTAAATATATAAAATAAATATCAAAAATATAAATCTTTGTTTTACTATGGTTGCAAATATCAAAAAATTTCTATATGTGATACAGCACCAGAGTTAAGTTAAGGTTTTTCAAAAGGTTCGCCATCACTGACCTAGATCAAGCACCCTGCTTCATTTAGGTCCTACCAGAAGGAACCCTTCAGGAAGGGCCACAGTGAACTTTTTTCCCGCCCTAGGGTATTAAACCACCAGGCGTGTTCCTCTGCCACAGCACATCACCTGCACCAGCGCATCTGCACCAGCCCGCCTCCCTGACGCCCACCTGCCTCCCTGGCGCCCACCAGCCTGCTGTGTCTGCCGCACTCCTCACTTAAGATAATGTGAAAGGGCAATTCTGTGTATCACTCCACACAGAGACTTAAATGTTTTGGCTTGACGCATTTGTAACTTCAGATATATTGCATTTTATTTTATTTGATAGGTACCAACCCCATGACTTTGATAAAAACGATTGCATGGGTGTTTAGGATCACATTCATTCGAAGCAGTCCATTGCCCAGGTTCAGGATTCTCATGGCAACTGGGTGAACACCCTCGGAAAACCTTTACCATGCCGAGTCCAAACGACAAGGAGAGGTCGTAGTTTACAATTTGATCATCAGCATTATAAGTAATAGGATTAGTTCTAACTTGAAAACAAAACTGGGTGTTTTACTTTGCTTTTGAGGTTTGGAAGGCAGCCCTAAGCTCAGGTTGGGGAACTTGTAGCAGGAATGGTGACGTTAGGCTGCATACAGATGGTGGTGAGTGACCAGGCCGTAGGTCATTCACTGGCTTGCTTCTGCTTTCTTACTTTGGGTGCCCAGTTTGGTTGAGCTGAGTACTGTACGTTGAAGCTACTGAGTTGAGAGTTTTCTCGCTTCATAAGTGAAGAACAGTGATTTGGACAGAAGGCAGCATTGAGATAAATGTTTATTACCTTATGCTTATCTCCTGGGAATGTTTCATACAGCTGTAATGTATGTGTTAAATATAACAGCTACCTGGGCCATGCCCTTTCCCTATTCCACCTACTTGGCCACAAATTCAGACCTCCTATGAACTCTGTCTGACCCCAAATACCTAAACTCAAGGCCTAAAACTAGGAACACCATTTACTGGTTTTATTCCTCAGTTTCTTCACTGTGAAGTTCTGTTGTAAGTTCAAGATAAAAATGGAATGTGGCTTTTCAAGATAAGCAATAGTCTTTTTAGGCTTTTTGTTTATTTTATATTTTTACTTTAACACCGGCCTTGTACACAAGCCTGACAAATGACTGCTTTCGCCAAGTGCCTTTTAGAGAGAAACTCTGAATTGGCCACAGCTCAGCTTGCATCAGCTCAGGGCCAAACCCAGCACCTGAAGCTTTTCAGGTGGAACCTCCCCCCGCCCGAATTTATCTAAAACACCTGTCCCTAGAGAGGAGGGAGAGATCGCCCAGTGCTACCCTTGGGTGTGATGTCACCAGCGCACCCTGCAGGGTGAATTGGTTTTCCCCACGCGGAGTATTTGTGTAGTTCTCTCTTTGGGGGCCATGCAGGGTGCTAGAAGGAGAACCTGGTGTCGGGTAACTCCAGTTCCGTTTGGTCATTAGCTGGCTTTGTGGCCTTGAGCAAGTTACTTCACCTCTCTGAGCCTTTGTCCCCTGTGGAGTGAGAGGTTGGATGAGATTAGTGGTTCTCTCCATCCTCCCAGGGTCAGTGCCCCCTTTTTCAAACAATTTTTTTTTCCTGGCAATTCTGAAGTGAAATTCAAAGTGAATGGGATCAACATGACATATATATTTTTAAATAATGAATATAATACCCTAACTGTAATAGGATGCAGTAAAAAGGAAAGGCACTTTTTAAGAGAATAAAATGTATTTACTAGCAAAGCTTGGGTGTGACCATCTGGAAGACAGAATGGAGTCATCAGATGCTTTCACCGTGTGTAGCATCACAAGCTCCCAGGGCAGAACAGCGTGTGTTGCATTGGCAACATTCCACATAGGGTTGTCACTGGGTATGATTCTCTGAAGTGGTAGACAGCTCTCGGAAAGTTTTGAACAAAAATCTTAGAGTTGTGCCTTGTACATGCATTCCTGGAATAGTCGCTGGATAGTAAAACCATGCAACAATTAACTTTAGCTATATGTCGAAAGGTCATTTCTAACATCTCACTAAGTAAAGAGAATGCTTACATACCAGAATTTTCTTTGTGGAGTTGGATGTGGAAGTTCATGCCCTGATTTGGAAAAAGGACACCTGTATTCAGTGTATTTGCTCCGTACCCTGTCTGGCCATGTGCCATTTCTCAGGTCTCCAGTTTTAACTATAACCACAACAGGGAATGGTGGGTAGTTTAGAGTAATTTTTGGGAAAAAATCCACAAAACCAAAGGAGGCCGACCTGTGCTCCTTTCACCTGGGTATGCACCTTAACCTCAGTGACTTTGAAAAATGAAAAGCTCTACTTCATAATCTGGGTAAATATTAGCTTCTGTATTATTGGTTTAATATTGAATAATAAAATTGAGGAAAAAAAAGTGCTTCTGAATCTGTAGGTTCTTTGCTATAAAATGCTTTCCTTTCAGATTCCCAAGGTCAGCAATGCCTTTCACCCACCCCTATTCTGTGGGGCCTGGAGCAGGGCGGAGTTCGTTCAGTGAATAATACCAGCTGTGCCCTGTCTGGTTAATGCTGCAATCCCATGCTGTAGCTCAATTGCTAGCTTTAGTTCATGTTGTTCACAATTCATTGTCATCATATTCAGGACGCTCTCTCTGAGGAGTACTTTACCGTTCTCATGCAGCGTTCACTTAGTTATTTCAGTTGCTGCCCCAAACAAACGCAGATGTCTTCAGCCTTATAGATCAGGAACCTGGTCAATGTACCACACAGTCTTCTTCCAAGGCCTTTTATTTTGGAATAATATTCTATCCTGTTTTCTTTTGTTCCTCCACGGTCTGTAGTTCTTTTATTTACTGGTTCGTTCGTTCATTCATTCATTCATTCATTCATTCATTCATATAGTCACCAATACTCATTTGGTGAGTACTTCCTGTGTGCCAGATACAACACATACTCTAGGGATATGGTTGTGGACAGGGTTCCAGCTCCAATGATCTTAATGTCATGTCCAGTTGTATTCCTTAGTGATTTTCCTGTCATAGAGAGCAGATATGATGGTGGAAAGAAAAAATGGAGTCCTACAGTAAATTTAAGAGAAAATGCCACATATTAACTGAAAAGATTAAATATGTTAATTTTTTTGGGGGGGTGAGGGGATACCTGCAATATAGAGAGCTATGCCAGGCAATGATAGAAGTGTGGTGAGCTGCACAAGAGAATGCAACTCTGTCATGTCATCCACTGTGAGATACTCAGTCTTTTAACAAATACCTACTGAACCTATGACCCTAGGATCATTAATCATAAAATGAGTCTGGGGAAGAGAAACTCAGAAAATCAATTCCAACACTTCTCATTACCACGGCTGCCATATTCTTAAGTAACAGGACAATTTGCAGACCATTATAGTTCACTCTGAGGCACCCCACAAACCTTCCTGGGGCAGATTGCTGACAATAACATTTTATAGTTTTGAGTGGAAGATTTCTTAGTAGTATGACTTTGAATAGTATCATATCTATAATTAAGGGTAAAGTGAAGCAGAGTGTTTAAGAAACTAGTATTACAAACTGCATTAGGTCACTGAAATGTGAGCCCAGGAACCATATGGGTGACATTTTGGTATTTGCCATTTAAATACCAAAGCAGTGAATTTTGTTGGCCTTAGTACAGTCAGTGAACAGGGACCTTGAAAATGAAGCTGGAACTAATTTTTAAAATTTAAAGATGGGACAATTTCACACTTTAAAAAAATTGCCCACTGGGTGCCAGCATGAATATCATACTTTCCATAGTATCACTGGCAATTATATATCAAAACTGGGCAGCTAGCTCTCTTTTCTATTGGGTGAAAAACAAAAGAATATGATAAATGAGTATGTTACAGCTTTATTTCAATATAGGTTAAGCCATAATTTTAGTGATACAACCAAAATAATGTCTTGAAATGTGATGTGAAATAAGTTTCAGAAAAGGTTTTTAGTCACCGGACAATTATCAGAAGGCCTTGAGCACCGTTGATGAATGGGACCCATTCGCAAATGATTCCTGGTGCTGCAATGCTGGGGATGAGACATTACACTTTTCTCTGTTGTCTTAGACCAGAGAACAAGTTTCAGAGCCATTGCTACAGAGCAACAGACTTCAGGATTGGCCTTGTTCTGTGGGCCACAGGTTGAAGTGAGAATGGAAAAAGTTATCTGTTCATTCATCATTTTCTCATTTAACCGTTTGAGTCCCTCGACATAAAATAAAACCGACATAAAACCGTTTCTCGACATAAAATAAAACAAGTGCTATCACGCTGTTTGGGTCTTTTCGTACTCATTTAGAGAAAGCGCGGTTGCGCTGTTTGGGATTCTTTGACAGTGTTTTTTCAATACCCCCTGGGACTCAAACGAATCGTATGTTTTCTCGACATAAAATCTCAGCAGCGCAATCGCGCTGCTTGGGACTCAAACGGTTAAGAAGCATTTGCTGCCCAGTCGGCGTGGCTCAGTGGATGTGCATCAACCTATGAACCAGGAGATCAGGGTTCAATTCTGGTCTGCTTACATGCCTGGATTGCAGACTCGAGCCTGAGTAGGGGACATGCAGGAGGCAGCTGATCAATGATTCTCTCTCACCATTGATGTTTCCATCTCTCCCTCTCCCTTCCTCTCTGAAACCAATAAAAAAATAATAAAAATAAATTTAAAAAAAGAAGCATTTGCTGATGCTTGTTAACGGAGGTTCCAGGCACTGTGTTAGGCCCTGGGGATGCATCAGTGACCAAGTCTTTCCGTTGTGGAGAAAAGGTGCTCACACTCGAGGGCAGTGTATGCCAAAGGGGTGGGTCTGTGCTCCCTCTGAAAGGCAGGGCAATGACCGGTAGTGAGCTCTTGTCTGGGAGATAAGCTGAAGTCAATTATACGTGGGTAGTGGGTTGAATCAGTCTGCGGTGGCACTGCCTCCTGGAAGCCCAGACTTAGCACCAGGTGATGTCTCATCAGGGAGGTTACCCAGCTTAAAGTAATACATGATGAGAATGATCCGAGAAAATACAGATGCAGCTTAAATAATGGGCTAGAAATGGCAAGAGGGGGGGCATAAAGGACTTTGTACGTACCCTTGGAAAAGACACATTAATACAGCAAGAGAAGACACCCGGTCGAGTTCGGAGAACCTACTTTCCGCAGAAGTAAATTTAGGAGCCC